TGTCAGACATTATCTACTGCACTCTGATCACATCACTCAGACCAGCTGCTTTCTACAAAGTCTCATCAACAACATCTTTAGAAACAAACATCAACAACCAGGAAGCAGCTTCACCTCTGATCACACACACACTCAACTCTACTCACTCACCTGGAGGATCAACATGAAGGTGGATGGTGTGGATGGGGTCAACACCTTGCTTTCTGCGGTTTGCGAGGACACGACACTCATATGTTCCAGTGTCACTAATTTTAACATCATGCAAAATCAAAGTCAGATTTCCATCCTTTATGTCAAGTTGTGTTCGGTTCTTAAAAGATGGATTCTGACTGTCTTGATCAAACTGTTTATCCTGGTACAAAAGGACACATTCTGGGTTGAGGTCAGGTCTGCTCCACTCTACCACTTTGATGTTGCTTGCAACTGGACATGGTAGATAGGCAGTTTCTCCAGACTTAGCCTTGACCTCTATTGGCTCTGTAAACAACACAAAGCATGCACAACCATTTACTTCTACAGAAACTCCAGAAGGACCACTGAGCTCTGCTGAAGTGAACCAAAGTGGAAACTTTGTGCACTGAAATTATGCACACTTGTTAATCCCTGCCAACTACCCAGACAGTTTACTGACAGACAGACATTCATGGCCATGAAACTGTATCATTGAAAGTACAAAATATTCCAAATCTAATTCAGTCCATTATCTGCAAGCCTGCAGCTGATCCTTTTATAATTAGCCTGAATTTCCCCACCTTATATGAAAATTTTTTTTTTTTTTATAAAAGATTATGGGCGACCGGTATTAGTTGCTCTGTGGTCTTCAATTTGTCATTAAAAATGCTCTAATATCTCACTGCATTAAAAGTAGCTTGAAATATAAAACATTTCAAGGCTGCTGTTAGACTTGGTGTGGTAACTGCCAAACTGCAGTTGGACTAACAAAATTTATTTTTATTTTTTAGGTGTGTTTTGTATTTATTTAAAATTGACAGTTTTCAGTAAAGATTGTCCTTCTTCTTGGATGTTGGGGAACTTGACTCTACTTTCTTTCTTTCTTATCATAATAACATAAAGTGAGAAAATGTGTTGTTACACAGGAAGCACTCTTTTTTTTTTCAAAGACGTCCATAATAATAACAGCTTCACTGTGCAGTGTAATTACAAAGGTGATGAATTGTTGTCTGGATTTTTTCAGAAGGGTGTGTACCATGTACGTAGGCTTGGGTTCAGCAGGATACCAAAGACATCTGGTGTAACAACAACGTAACACGTAACAACAGCCTCCATTCCTCTGATCTAAGGGACTTTTATCCACTCTAAAGGTCCGTGGAGGAGGGGATATTCCGAGCGCTTCTCTTCACTAGCTCCTTCTTGATCTCAAAAGTCTCATCCGCTTTCTGACATGACAGAATTGTTTTTTTGACAAGAAAACTGTAGTATCGGGTAAATGATAGGAGGTGGGAACGTTTGTGCTGGGTTCTTGTGGGGAGGGGGTTGAGAATAATAAAGGATACTCGCTGGCGTAATTGCGAGTCTCGTGTGTAGTTCAGTAAGATAACATCAACAACCTCCAATGACGGAACAGAAAGTCCTGAATGCCTTCGTCTGCATTCAGCACAATCAAAACTACTATCGTGAAACAGTACTTCACAGGAAAAAAGGACAGAATAAACATTTTTAAATCTTACGTGCAGATGTAAGCCCCAAGAAGACGACACCTGGTAAAGTCAACAGCAGAGATATTAAAGCCGCCCTTCCCATGTCCGCTTCTGCAGAGCTATTGAAGCTCACCAGATGACAGTAAGTCACTGATAGTCACAGTGAGTGTCACTACCCGATCCGTACCGGAAACCCGATCGGTACCCCGCATGCGCGAAAGGTGTCTACTTCCGGTCGAAGCATTTTACGATAGTTACAGGTCAGAGTATCTGTTAAGATGTTAAGAATAACAAGTATCTCTTAACATGTTTCAGATAATGAAACATTTAATACAATGTAGACAAAAATAAAAAAATTAAAAGATAGTGACAGATCGGGACTCCCGATCCTTACTGCGCATGTGCAAAGTCAGACCGTACAAATCGAGAAGGGTGGGGGGTACAAATCGGGTCTACCCGATCCGTACCGCGCATGTGCAGGGGTTTCCTTCTTCTTCTGTTAGTTTAATGGCAGTGTACTCCCCAGTGTACGAGGATACCGCCACCTGCTGACTGAGCGACT